AGAGCGAAGATAGCACATTTGTGTACCTTTGCGACAAATCGACCAGTTTTTTTTTTCGTTATTCACCTGTATTGATTATTCTAGTAAGAATATTGTTACGACAGCAGAAGTCGTGTGACGCTGGGAGCATGCGCGCTGGAGTTTCTGGAAGGATCATGAATTATCGGGGAGGCCCGAGTTTGTTCGAGGCGCCCTCTTTTTTAGTATATGAGCGTGGAGAGAAAAACCAGCGCCATGGAAGAGATAGATTGAAGAGAGAGAGAGATAATTAAGTCAAGCGAACAGTAGGCACCGTAAGTAAGGTGTGTGAATCGCTGTGATTTATAGCGTGTGTTATAAAGGTTGTTGAGTTTAAAGTGACTGTGGAAATTACTGTGTATTACTAAAAGTTATATCGAGAAAGAATAAACTAGTTTTAATTAAGAAAGGACTTGTATCGCTGAAGTTCCTCTGAAAGAATTTATACCGGAAATTAACAAACGAGCAGATACCTAACAATATATTGAGTCGATTCAAGTGGTTATTCAACTCCTTTATGATCGTGATTGCATCCACTCTCTTGTATTATCCATTTTATTTTATTTCTGTTACGTACATAATGATTTACCGATAAACAGTTTCATCATCTCTGACAATTCAAGCCCCCCAGTGGCACAGCGGTATGTCTGCGAATTTACAACGCTATAATTCGGGTTTCGATACCCGTTGTGAGCAGATCACAGATAGCCCATTGTGTAGCTTTGTGCTTAATTATAAACAAACCTGACAATTCAATATATTCAAGATAGTTTCTTTTAAAAAATACTCATTTACCAATATACATATATATGTATATTAAGACTTCAAAGTACATATAATAAAAGTAACAATCTCAATAGCCTTTGGTATTCGTCATAATACACAATAATTAATATAATTATAATTCCTGTAAACTTAACCTGATAGTGATTTCAAGTTGAATGTCATTCTGCACAAACAGTAGCTCATAAATTAATGGTGGTTAGGGCACTCGACTCGCAATCTCAGGGTCGCGGGTTCGAATCCCCGTCCCACCAAACAAGCTTGCTCTTTCAGCCGTGGGGTCGTTATAAAGTGAAGGTCCATCCCACTATTCGTTGGTAAAAAGAGTAGCACAAGAGTTGGCGGTGGATTGTGATGACTAGCTGCCTTCCCTCTAGTCTTACACTGCTAAATTAGGGACGGCTAGTGCAGATAGCCCTCGTGTAGCTTTGAACGAAATTCAAAAACAAACAGTAATTAATTTTATTTCGTGTTAACTTGATAATGGGTCAACACTTAATGTTTTATTTCACTCGTATCTAGACAGTAAAATTGAAACTAATGTTTTACTTTCACTAACTTTTGCCTAACGTAAAATATTAATCATAACACAAGTACAGTTTTGTCCAAGTTGTACTGAGTACTGAAAAACATATCAATACAACATAAAATATTACTGAACACGAACTTTTATACTTTGAAGTGCTAGTACATTCTTGTTCTATACCAGAATTAGTGACCTGGCATGGCCAGGTGGTTAGGGAGTTCCACTTGCAATCTGAGGGTCGCGGGTTTCCTGTGTTTTTCTACTAATTCTGGTTTGTTTATTTTGAATTTCAGCCAAAGCTACACGAGGATCATCTGCGCTAGCCGTCCCTAATTTAGCAGTGAAGGTAGATAATCATAACCACCCACCGCCAACTCTTGGGCTACACTTTTACCAACAAATAGTGAGATTGACCGTCACATTATAACGCCCCCACTCGACTCGCAATCTCAGGGTCGCGAGTTCGAATCCCCGTCCCACCAGACATGCTCGTCCTTTCAACCGTGGGAACGTTATAATGATACGATCAATCCCACTATTCGTTGGAAAAATAGTAACCCAAGAGTTGGCAGTGGGTGGTGATGGCTAGCTGCCTTTCACTGCTAAATTAGGGATGGCTAGAGCAGATAGCCCTCGTGTAGCTTTGTGCGAAGCTCAAAACAAACAGTAAATGAAAATTTCCAATGACACTAATAAATGATAGGAACCTTATAAAACATGGATTATTGAGAATTATTAAGCCTATTTTTTTGTTATTGTAAGGTCATGAATTTACTAACATTTTGAAAGATTTATCATTTCAATGAAATACCTGAACACATCACAGTATGTGTTTAAGTGATGAATTAAAAAATAAGGCAAGATACCTGATATAAACAAAATAATTATAATGTGGAAAGTATTTGATTAATATATGTATAAATTATGCTCATATACTGAATAACACCTGTCATTATTGGCCACTGGTAATAAAGCAAGCAATTTATCAATAGATGATTAAGGTTTCATAAAAAACGTCACCAGATGTGTTGTATTTCAATGGCTTCTTAAGAATCAATGACTGTTATGTGCCTTTATTTAAACTTTATGATACCATAGTCAGCTTTTTTTCTTTTGTATAAAACAAGAATTATAAAAGGTAAATTTAAAATCTTTTATTTTTATATAAAATACATTTTTCGAAAGCCTTAAGTTTTTAATCATTTCCTATCTAAATACATTTCACATTTAAAATGTTACTTTCAAATTTCATAATTAAAAAATAATAATAATAAATAAGGCAGACTTACAAAAAAAAACTTGAAAACTGTAAATAATGATGTGAAAAATAAGCTCACACAGCTTATCTTACTATAATGGACGTAGCTTGTATGTCAGTATCTATGTATTTAACCCAAACTGCATCGCCATCTATCGATGGCACCACAAACAAAATGCATAAAAATTTCACACTTTTGGTATTCAAGATTCAGATAATTAGAAAAATAACTGTGGTATGTGCAACAACCATTTATTTATAATAGAACACAATTTTAAATAAAAGTACTCTTCTCACAACAGGAACACGACTTTTACTAGGACTGTACGTGAAAGTTTGATTATTTCTTTATTAATGTAATTTTTAAATGTAGTACTGAGAAACTGGAGTTCTTAAAAAACGCTTACTTTTTCAATAAACGGTATCACTTTTAATATATAAAAACATTATAGTTTATATCAGTAAAATTTATGAAAATTTTGAGATCTTTATATTGAATCCTTTTGATGCAATGAGTTGCATATGACTAAAGAGCACAATCCGAACACTTTTCTCGTTCAGTACTTCCCAGAAAAAAAAAATCATTTTTTAGAAAATGTTCAAGGAGGTATGAATAATATGATTAGTAACTATTAGCACAAACAACCGCCCATAAGGCGGCGTTTCTGCTAGTTTTTGTAATATGCACTAAACAACAATTAAAGTTTTAAATACCAGTTTAAAACATACTAAAATATAAAAATAATATTTAAAAAAGAAAAAATTCAGAAAGTTATTGACAATAACTGCAGGTTACAAATCAAATACAAAGTACACTATTTCTAAGATATATTTAGTAAATGACATTAAAATATGAAAAACGTGTAGTTACATTCAACTCGACTTCACCTCTTCAACATTTATCTTAGCAAACCATACTTCCCCAATAGAACCCTATAAAGAGTACAATCTTTTTTAAAATGGTTTGTTCATTCGCGATAAATCAGGCCTCTCAAATGAATCACCCTACGGAACTTTGAAATCCAATGTCTTTAAAAAGTGATACTAGAGAATTCTCTTTCAATAAACTCTAGACTAAACAAACATTGTAAATAAACTCTGGTTACTATAGAACTCACTATACGGGGGCGGATTTAACGGTCAGCTTTACCGGGTCCCTCTTTAGGACCCCCCTTTTTTAAGCTGACTACGTATTTAAGCTTAAATTTGCCTCTGTCACCACAGAAGATATTGCTGTACAGTAAGCCATTCTTAAAAAGAGAAAAGAGGTTCTTAAACAGACAATAACATTCTTATTAAAGCAAGGTTTGCTTGTAATCATTGTAGAGGACTCTGCTTATTACAAGTCACCCACTACCAGTAGTACAAAACCTACCTACTAGCTTTGACATCTAAAATACTTAAGGTGTACCACCTCATATGATTACACTTTACAGTTAGATTAAAAGAACTTTTATGTTGACCAGTTATTTGGAAATTTTCTCGATCTAACCAAATAAACAAAAATAAATTGACTGGTTCAAAGTTTTATAATAAAAAATCTTGAATAATTTATTTTAAAATTTCACAAATTAAGATATCTTAACAATATGCAGTAAGTGTTAGCATGTCCCAAGTTTTTTGCAGAACAAGATACATTTGAACTTGTGTAATAAACTGGAACAGTTGGCAATAAATCTGTCTCTGTGAATTCTGCCATCAAGGATCAACACTTTCAAAGCTGGATACAAGGATTACAACAACCAGGATACTGGGTACATTAAAGATTCCATTACAATTATGGACATTCTTCAACTAAAAAAAACAAACATGGTCAGAAGTGGATGCCTTATGGGAAAGTATTCATGTTCATTTATACACTGTAACTGGAATGTAAAGTTTTTATAAGTTTTAGTTAATCATAAAATTAGTTCTGAATCAGTGCAAATATACTGAACAAAATGGTACCTGATGTGTAAATGGAAAGAATAAAAGTTATTTTTACCATGGACGTTTATTACAGAAATATTAACTATTTCACTGTACATACTCCTGGACAGGACCAAGTATCACAGCCGCTCAATCCTGCATGGTTTTTAAAAGACCCACCATTTTTTGATAAGTGATGATAAAACTTTATTGCTATCAAGGATATTTATTATAGTTCTTCATTATGAAAAAATCAAGAAACTGACAGACAACATTTAAGTGGAAGGGTTTTTGAAATTAGCACTGAAAAAATTAAATCATTAGCACTGAAAAATATAAATCATCGTCAAAGTTATTTTCTTTCTGGAATGTTGGTACTGTGTTCTTTTTTATTTGATCAAACACTATTTCTTTTTTGTAAATATATGGGAAGTGCTTGGTATAAATATTAACATTTTCATCTAAATCTTACAATATATTAAACTTGTTTTGTAGCTATTTACGCTTCCAACACACTACCAAATGGAATGAAAGATAGCTAAACCTAGTATTAATATCTGCTGTTATTGATCGTTTGAGCTCCTTGGAGCCATAACATTCTGTACAAATTCAAGTTGTTCCCAATTCCTTGAAGGTAAACATACCTGTTCTTACAATTACTCATTTTTATAAATGTTTGTCTTAAAAAGAAGCCTTTAAATTTATGAACATCCTTTAGACTCCTGGTATTTCCATAAAAATATTCAACATATTACATTTTATAGTGATTGGTTCATTCAATAAAGTAAGCATTCCATGTAATTTTATAAAAGCTGGACATTACTCAAGTTTTCATCTCCACCGAACACATTCAAAAAAACTTTATGTTCAGTATATTAAAAAAATCAAGCTCATTTCAACCAATGGAAGATTTTAGATCCTGTTCATAAACAGCAACAACCAACATCACAGATATGCCAACTGAAATTCCAAGAATTTGTATTCCCAACAGATGGAGACTGTGGAATTTCCAGTGACTTGGATATGACTCTAATTCTGGAACCTGGAAAGACAAACAAAAACTGCTAGATATGTATGAGAGAATCAAAGATAGTCCAATATTTGTATAATTTCACACACACACACACATATATATGTATCACAGCAACAAATAATTTAGCTATCTCTATGTATGTATAAAAGTTTGTACTCCACTGTTTTTATTACTTTTCATTTTTTATAGAAAGAGATAAAAATGGTACTGGTTTCAATAGTTGGTATATTTTTGTTCAGCCATTGGACAAAAAGACTTATTAAATTTCACCATATATATATATATATATATATATATATATTTTTTTTTTTTTTCATTACAAAATAATTAATTTATTAATGTATAACAATTTGAGATGTAAATCATAAACTTAAGAACCATACAAAAAAGAACTGGAAAAATAAATTTAAAAAATGTAAAAAGAGATAATGAACAAAATCATAAAGCAAACACACGACTGGAATAACAATTCAAATATCTTACTAAGTAATCACTTCATTTCAAAGAAACAAACATTCATATCACTAGAAGTCTACATTTAGAAACAACTGAATGTCAATTAGGGTATCACTTCATGGCTAGCAATTAAAAACTGTTAAAGTTTTAATACAATGTTTTTCTTACACTAGTCTTTC